CAAACACACGAACATATGGGACATTTTATGTACAAACTATAAAAAATAATGCTGTTGAAATCCCTCATGTGTTTTTCTAGTGGCTCATTTGTTGCTGGCCTGTGCTGGCCTTCATTCACATCCTAGATGTCCTAGATGGCAGTCTCTGTAGGGGCTCTGTGCTGCCTCTACCCCACTCGTGATATGTTGTGATGAAACTGCAGTTCTTATGTTACTGTACTTACAGTTTTGCCTTTTACAGGTTGATTCAAAGTGCTCTGGAGCTAGCACTGTGTGAAGGGATGGACTTTCGGTCATTACCTCTGTGGTTGGCCCATTGTCCACTAATCTTCAGTCATTATTCCCTCATGTATCAGATGTCCTTGTACACATGGGATCCATTTCTGAGGCATCTCATCTATTTTTGTTTTTGTCTACAGCAGCCCCAACGTCACACTGAAACGTTACACGTTTTATAGTCAGGCTTAATCTAGGGGAACAAGGTTTCCTACCTTGTTCTTTTTTAAGAATATCATGGCTGGGGTTGGAGAGGTGACTCAGCTGTTAAGAGCACTTACTGCTCTTGAAGGAGACTTGGGTTCAATTCACAGGAGACCTGGGTTCAGCTGGAAGAACCCATATCAGGCATCCCACAACCTCCTGTAACACCAGTACCAAGGAATGCAACACCCCCTTCTGGCCTCCATAGGTACTGCACATACATGGTACACCTGAGCTCATACAGGCACACACACACACATACACAAAAATAAAAATAAATAAATCAGTATTCTTTTTAAATATCATGGCTGGTTTTAATCCTTTGTATTATGAAATCAGACAGACAATCATTGAGATTTTACTGATCTGTAAATTACTGTGAGAAAAATCAGCATTCTTTTTTTTTTTTTGGTTTTACGAGACAGGGTTAAAAATCAGCATTCTTACAATATTATGTCTTTTAATTCTTCATCATTTATCTTTCATCTAATCTCTTCTTCTAAGATCTCTCATATTAACAAGGGAGTGGAGACCTTTTATACCCATTGTCTGATACTTTCCTAAGTATTTCATATTGTACAAATTTTATTTTGCATTTATTGGTGATCTGTCTAGTAAATATTGATATATCAACATACTGTTATTTTCATAATTTATCTGTAAATCTGCAGTTTGATCCATATATTTGATCATCTTGAAGCAATCTGGTGTTCTCCTCCTCTGCCTCCTCCTTTCACAAGTGTTACCTACTAGGCCTCTTTTTCTTGCTGTCCTGCTCTTGCTGGATCTGGGCAGTGCGAGGTGGAGATGGTGGGAGTGGGCATGCCCGTCTCTCTAGGCCCAGAGAGAACACGTAAACATTCCCTCTGTGCGCCTTTGCGTTCTGTGAGTTTTCATGGACTCTGATCAGATTAAAGAAATGCCTGTGTGTGTGTTCCTGATTTTCTAGGAAATGAGTACATACTGAATCTTACAGAGTGCTTTTCCATTTCTATTAAGATGATCATATCATTTTCCCTCTTAAATTTCTTTCTTTGGTTTATTTTGTTTGTTTTGAGATGGAGTCTCTGTGTGTAGCCCCGGCTGGCCTGATATTTGCTGAAATCCTCCAGCCTGCAACCTGACTCCTGGGATTACAGGAATGAGCCACCATGCCCAGTTGAAGTTGAGAATGAACTAAAATCTGCAATGTTAAACCAGGTTGAAACCCCAGATTAGTAAAGATATATCCTTTTTATTGCTTTGTTTGTTTTTTCTGCTTTTTCCTCTAAGTTAATGAGGGAAACTGACCTGCATCGTCCGTGCCTACACTTGTTAGATTGTGCTATTACTCAGAACCTTCATTCTTCACCACCTTTTTTGAGGCAGGGCCTCTCAGTCAAACCTAGACCCAACTGGTATGGCTGGTCTCAGTAGCCAGCTTTCTCCAGGTTCCCCTTCCAAGGCTGCAATCCAGGCGGTCATCACACCTGAAATGGCATGCATTTGGCTTCTGGGATCCGGATCCCAGTCTTATTGCTTGCTTGCGTGGCAAGTGCTTTAATTACTGACCCACCTCTCCAGGCTGTAGTCCTTTTTTTTTTATTCTAAAATAAATAATTAGGGCAATTCATATTTTTCTGTTTTAAAACATGGTCTTAGTTTTATATGTATATATTAGTACCATTAAGAAAAAAAAAAACCTCTTGGGGCTGGAGAGATGGCTCGGAGGTTAAGAGCACTGGCTGCTCTTTCAGAGGTCCTGAGTTCAATTCCCAGCAACCACATGGTGGCTCACAACCATCTGTAACGAGATCTGGTGCCCTCTTCTGGCAAGTAGGCAGAACACCATATATTTAATAATAAATAAATAAAATATTTTTTAAGAAAAAAAACTTCTAATGTATAGTTTATACTAGGATTCTCTCTTGGCTTGTAAGTTACTTAAAAGTATGTGCCCTCCAGGGCCCACTACAGTGACCCCCAACTCTTTGCAGAGTGGACACAATGTAATACTTCTCTCACAGGATCACTGAAATAAGGAAGTAAAATTGTCTGTGAGAAAAGTTGAGAATAGTACCTGGAATACTACAGGGTATTACAATAAATCGTAGCTACAATAAATAGTAGATCTTGTTGATGATTAAGGGTATGCAATAAATGGTTACCTCTACAGGTCATGGAATATTTCATTATATAAACAGTAGCTTTTATCAACTCATATTAACAATGAGAATGATTGTTCATTTTTATATTTTTATTGGGATCTTTTCATTTTATTTTATATCTGCTTTGACCACATATATATGTAAAAAAGTATTAATATATGCTAATTGTGGAACGATTAAACCTATGTAGTTTATCAATGAAAAAAAAGTATGTGCCCTCCCTGTTGGGGAGACTCCCCCAAACCAGGAACCCTAAATCTGAGTCCAATAGTCACCTTGAAGGGAGACAGGACGAGCACATCTTCCAGTTTCAGGTTCTTTGTGTGTGCATGAGTGTGCGGGATGTGTGAATGTGTAAGTATGTATGCGTGAGTGTGTACATGTGAGTATGTGTGTGTGTGAGTGTGTGTTTGCATGGGTGAGAGTCTGAGTGTGTATGCTCATGTGTGTAAGTGCATTGTATATTTAGCTTTATTTTTTTAGCAGAATCTATGTAGTCCTGGCTATCCCAGAGCTTGCTATGTAGACCAGGCTGGCCTTGAACTTAGAGATCCTCCTGCCTCTGTCTCCCTGCTGGAATTAAAGGTATGTGCCTCTATGCCCAGCCTATTTCTTTATTTATGTTTTTTGTATCTCATTTTTCTTTTTTGTTTTTTGTTTTTGGTTTTTCGAGACAGGGTTTCCCTGTGGCTTTGGAGGCTGTTCTGGAACTCGCTTGGTAGTCCAGGCTGGTCTCGAACTCAGAGATCCGCCTGCCTCTGCCTCCCGAGTGCTGGGATTAAAGGCGTGCGCCACCAACGCCCGGCTTGTATCTCATTTTTGTTTACAGCTGCACAAAACCCCCTAGTATATATGTACCAAGTTTTCTTTACCCATTCACACACTGATGGACATCTAGGCTCATTCCATTTCCTAGGTACTATGAAGAGTGAAGCAGTAAGCCCTGATGTGCAAGTATCTATGTAATATGTTGACTTAGAATCCTTCAGGTATATACTCAAAGATGATGTGGCTGGGTCATACGGTTCTGAAACATTGTAGTTTTTTGACAACCCTCCATAGTGCCTTCCCCAGTGGCTACAAAATGTAGCTTTTTTTTCTTCTTCACACTGCCACCAGCATTTCTTGTCATTTGTTTTCTGATGCTAGCCGTTCTACCTGAGGCGAGAGGGACTGATGAAGAGTTTTAACCTGCATTTCCCTGTTAGTTAAGGCTGTTGAACACTTCTCAATCGTTGTGTTTCTTCTTTTAAGAACTGCATTCATGACCAGGTGGTGGTGGCACAGGCCTTTAATCCCAACACCTGAAGGCAGGGGCAGGGGGATCTATATGAGTTCGAGGCCAGAACTGTCTTGGGGAAAATAAAAAAAAAAAAACTATTCATTTCATTAGCCCAGCTGGTTGGGTGAGCCTCGGTTTAACTTCTGCAGCTCTCCTATAATGCTTGTCCTGAGAAAGCAACTCTCCTGCCCACTCCTCTCCACCCTCTGACTCTCACCACCCAGCCTGCATGCTTTCCGGATTCCAAAAGTGTTAAAACCTCTTTACTGTAACCAGTTTCTTTCTTTTTCCTGTTGCTTTGTGAGTTGATTTGTGCTTTTGAGATGTGGTCTCAGGTAGCCCAGGCTGGCCTTAAACAATCTCAAAATTGCAGAGAATGACGGTGATGGCTGTTCTTGGTTGTCAATTTAGTTAATCTGGAATTAACTAAAATTCAAATGGCAGGACACACCTGTGAGGGATTTTTTTTCTTAATTAAATCATTTGAAGTGAGAAGACCCATTTCTAATCCAGATCTTTTGAGGTGATGAAATCCACCTTTAATCTGGGCCCCACCTTCTGCTGGCAGTCTGCATTTATAAAGGACATGGAAGGAGGAAGCTTGCTCTTGCCTGCAGGCCCATCCCTCCACTGGCATGACAGCCTACTCTGAGGTTCCAGCATATACTGAAGTCCAAATGAGATGCCCAGCCCCAAGAACTGAATGACTACCGGATTCTCAGACAGCCATTGTTGGACTAGCTGGACCACAGCCTGTAAGCCATTGTATCAGTTCTGTTCCTCTAGAGAACCCTGACTTGTACAGTGACTTGTACTCCTGATCCTTAACTCGAGCAGGAGTGCTGGGATGCAGGGGTGTGCCACACTGAGCAGGAGTGCTGGGATGCAGGGGTGTGCCACACTGAGCAGGAGTGCTGGGATGCAGGGGTGTGCCACACTCCTAGTCTGTTTCCTTTATGTCATCTAGTGAGCTTGCTGGAGAAAGAAGAGGACTGGGTGTGACTCATTGGCACAGCACTTGTCTGGTGGTAGTGGAGCCTTGGGTTTGAAACCAGTCACGCAAAAGGAAGAAAGGATAAAGTGAGAAGACATTCCTATTCCCAATCTGCCACTTTTAATCAGAGACCACACATAGAATCCAAGCCAACTTTGGGTTAGGAACAGACACAAGTGGACTTATTACTAGGGATCAGCTGCAGCAGGAGAGAGGAAGCAATATAAAGGGCACAGAAGATTCGAGCCTCAGGGTCATAGGTCACATCCTGGCTAATCCGCTCGCCCCAGTTCTCCTGGAGGATCGACTCCACCTGAAAGGAGACTCACCAGATTAAAAGCTAGGAATACACACACACACACACACACACACACACACACACACACACACACACACACATCTCAAAACAAAAAACAACCACAATTGCCAACAGTTGGCCACAGCACTTCACTCTGAGCCTGTGACAGACACAGGGACCCATCATGACATTCTTCCTGCAGAGTTGAGGAACCTCACACTTCTACATTGCAGCAGGCACTCAAGGGGTACCAGATGCCATCTGAGACCAGTCATTTTCTACCCCTCTTTTGCCCATAGGCAAGCAACAGAGCACTCAGACCATAGGCATTAGTTTCCACTATGATGTCCTGAGCTCTCTCCATCTGGTGCGTCTCACCTGGTCCCTCAGCGAAGACAGAGTCCCATTGTCTATTGCTTCAGTCACATACTTGCCTTGCTCAGGCAGCTCTGGAAGCAGAAAAAGAAGGCAGTTAGTAGAAAAAGATAAGGACATGGTGGCTTCAGTAGAGAGTTTTGGTGGCTGACCATATGCACCAGAGGGTTTCAGAGAGCCCCTGACCATATGCACCAGAGGGTTTCAGAGAGCCCCTGACCATATGCACCAGAGGGTTTCAGAGAGCTCCTGGAACGCCAGGGGGGAATATCCCGAATGTTTCCTGCTCCCCTCTTAGAATATGGAGCACCACAGACTATACCAGAGGGAATGGGGTGATTGCCCCTCAATATCTGGCCTGGGAAAGTCTCTTAAAAGAAAGTTCCTTAAATTCCAAGGGCTGCCCCTCACAGAGTATAAATTTGGGCAATGCATGCTCCCTGAGACTTATTCCCCAGAAGCTCCTGGATGAGCATGCCCTCCATCCCAGCAGACAGCCAGACCCTCCTCACCTATCAAGGCATCCAAGAGTTCCAGAAAGGCTTCTGCACGTTCTTTTACCAAGCGGCCAGCACTATCATGAAGGCTGCATAGGAGAGGACCTTCTGGGCCCTCGGTCTGTGTCGCATCAGAGATCAAGACCTCATAAACCTAGGGCGGGAGACGGGGAAGCTAGGCACAGTCCTCTGGCAGTTGGTTCCCACCCTGACATCTGCCCGCCACAGCCCTCCGTGTCCACCCCAGTTCTCCCTTGGGATCACTCACTCTCTGCTCTAGACCCGCCAGCCCCCCTTCCTTGCTGGCACATGAGTTTCTGATAGAATCCAGCATAGTCTTCCGGTCCTTCTCATTCAGTCCCTGGAGGCATCTCGCTGTGTCCTGCACCTGCTCCTGCAAACTTGCAACAGCTTGCAGTCTTCTTACAGTCATTCCTAGAAAGGCAGAAACTATGAAGCTGACTCACTCTGCCCACAGGCTTCATTTGTAAAGTCCACTATACTCTCCACCTCCACCCCCTCAACCACTGAAATAGTTTCATGTAGCCCAGACTTGAACTCCCTATGTAGCCAAGGATGGCCCTTTTTTCTGATCCTCTTGCTTCAAGAACTGGAGCAGGCAGAGTGCCAGCATGCCTGGCCAGATCTTATTTTAATCTGCTTTTGTTGTTGCTGTTGTTTTTACCTCAACCCTGTGTTTTGCCTTCTTCTAAACTAATCTGTTCTGTTAAAATGAAGCCCCTCTCCCTGACATACCTACCATCACCCATTTACTTGGCTTCTATTCCCCTAGTTCACCCCCATTTAGTCCCAGTTTGCTAATCCAGAAATAAGCTAGGTGGTTTAATTTTTATATTCAAAAATGTAGTCCTCAAAGCCAGGTAGAGTGGTGCACATCTGTAATCCCAACACTAGGAGACAGGAGGATTAAGGGTTCAAGGCCAGCCTGAGAGACATGACCAAGAGGGGGTGGAGAGAAAGAAAGAAAATACGAGGGAAGAAAAGAGAAAGCTATGCCTCCAGGTTCCTGCCCTGTGTGAGTTCCTGCCCTGACTTCCTTTGATGGTGAACAGTGATAAGGAAGTAAAAGCCGAATCATTTTCTCTCCAGGTTGCTTTGGTCATGGTGTTTTATCCCAGCAAGAGTAACCCTAACTACGACACCACACTGTACCATTCTGCTGACCCCACCGAGCGTCACACCACATGGACCTGAGGACAGATGAATTCTGCCACGTTGGGTTTTTTGTTTTGTTTTCTTCTTTTTTTTTTTTTGTAGACAGTTTCCCTGTGTAACTTTGGCTGTCCTGGAATTCACTCTGTAGACCAGGCTGGCCTCAACTCACAGAGATCCACCTGCCTCTGCCCCTCAAGTGCTGGGATTAAAGGTGTGCACCACCACTACCCGGAATTCCACATTGTATGTGGGCCTAGAGATAGGTTAGTCCCCATGCATAGCTAATAAGTTCTCTTGCAGAGGGAGGAAGGTCTCCAGAGTCTTCAGGTCATATCTAAGCCCTGTGGCATTTGTTTCCCAGTGAAGGACATTTTTATTCCTAGACTGTGAGCCGTCACTGCCCATGTCAGGGAGCCACAGTAAGGGTACACCCTTACTGTGCATAAGTTATATTTGCAAGCTCCTTCCCACATCCCACATCCTCAGAGATAGGCAGCCGCAAGGCTGTGCCTGGATAACACAAGCGGCAGCCAACACCCAGAGATGGTACAACATGCCCTCCATCCCTTCCCAAGACCTCTTTGGCAATAGGACTGTCCTGCTTGGGATATAGGGAATACCCCAAATGTTCCAGAGGAAGCACATACGGAGTCATGGACCTTCCAGCCTAGTCAGAAAAATCCTGACTTGGGAGACTGTGAGCACCAGACTTGAGACTACTCCAGTGCAGCCCCTCATCCCAGCCTGCACTGACATGAGCAGCCTGGCCAGAGGCTCAGCTGTGCTCTCTGGGTCATCCTTACATCACAACCCATGGTGACATGAGCATTGGCCAGAGGCCAATCAGGGCCCTGGGAGGAGCCTGGGGGCCCTCGGCTAACAGTGCATCCAGGCTGCTCCTCCACAAACACACCTCCTTCTGTGGCTATCACATGTGAACACACCCACTACATACTCAGCCATGCATTGTCTTCTGTCTGATAATGTCCTTGCATGTTCTGAAATGATGAACAGGTGGCCCAGGGGCTCACTCACCTCCTTGAAAAGATCTTTTTTCTTCAGCCCAGAAGGCAATAGCTAAACCAAGAGGGGAGATCAGGGAGAGGAGGGAGAAAGAATAAGAAAATCGTTTCTGTATCCATATTCTCCCAGTCCCCACACTCTGCTCCCAACCAAGGGAAGGAAAGAAAAACTATTGCTAATCTGTTAGGAAACTGAGATTGCAATTCTGTAGGGCAGACTGCTGTCCTGGTGAGTGCATACTGGGTTGGTCTGGCCAGAGCCCATATGGCCCTCAGGCCTTCTCAGGCCTCCAGCCTCCCTTCTTCCTCTCCCACCTCTGGCCTCAACAGCCACCCATCCCAGGCTGATACAGAGCTTGTCTCAATCCACATCCACCCACTCATGTGATCAGGGCTCCATTTCCTGTGTCCACAGCATCTTGCTTACATATTTCATTATTTTTGAAGATGAGCTGCTTCTTTCGATAGGCCAGGATGATGTTGGCAGGGATGGTGATTTGGTTTTGGCTCTAGGGAGAAAGAGCTCATGTTGATGGTTATCAGTGCTATCTTGTCTGATCTCCCAAACACTCCTATGAGGCGGACATTTTTATTCTCCACTTACAGGTGGAAGGACCAACACTAAAGCAAGTAACAGAGCCATCCTACAGCTGAAACCAATGGCAGAGCTGAAATTCAAACCCATGTCTAACACCAAACCCATGCTGTTTCCACTGTTCGTTTAGCAAGTGTCTACTGAAGACGTCTTTGTCTCTAGCTCCTCCTGCCTACTAGCAAGGGAGACAGACATTAATAGGATACCCATGTAATTAGGAATGTGCACACAGTCCTCGCAGAGGCAGGCAGACCTCTGTGGGTTGCAGGCCAGCTTGATCTACAGAGTGAGTGCCAGGACAGCTAGGGCTACACAGGGAAGCCTCGTCCCAAAAGACCAACAAATAACATTAAGAAAAGAAAGAGCCTGGCGGTAGTGGCACACACCTTTAACCCCAGCACTCAGGAGGCAGAGGCAGGTGGATCTCTGTGAGTTTGAGACCAACCTGGTCTACAAGAGCTTGTTCCAGGACAGCCTCCAAAGCCACAGAGAAACTTGTCTTGAACCTCCCCTCCCCAAAAAAAAAAAAAAAAGAAAGGAAAGGGAAAAGGGGCATCATTAGACAACCTGTGAAGGAACTCCTCCACAAGGTAACACTCTCTTCCTTGTGCCAAAAGGCACAGAGGCCAGCCAGCACTGCTCCAAGAGGCCTAACAGAGGAGCAAAGAAGGCTGCATCTTGGCTGGCAACCTCTAGACTTTCAGTGATGGCACGAGGCTGGCTGGTCCACACCCCATCCCCCAGTATACTAACCTTGTTTTCATGGTTAATGCCCTTAAGTAATGAGCTCCAAATTTTATATTGCTCTTCTGCTTCTAGGGTTTGCTCCTGTTCCGTCTCTAGAGTTTCTGTCACCAGATACACATTTTCTTTTAAACTAATTGTTTTGAATGAACTGGGTAGTTCCTGCTTCAGCCTCCTAGAGGGAGTGGAAAGGATCAGAGTTCAGGGCCTCTCAGTGGCCTCTCCCTGTCCATCAACTACTTCCTTTGGAGAGTAAATGCTGTAAGGCTGCAAACCCAAGGATCATTGCACATGGCACCGTTCACAGTTCAGTCTACCCACCGAGAGGTGGGGGCAGGATGCACAATGGGAAAGAACTCACTAGCATTCACAGTGTGTCCCTGCCCATCATGGACGGCGGGAGGCGTCTCCCCCCCGTGTTATAGGCAGAATTGCATCTTTCTTTACTACTTCTTTTACTACTTCTGCTGGCTTGGGGGAGGTGTGTGGGGGGGTTTGAATGAGATGCTCCCCATAATCTTGGTTCCCAGTTGGTGGTGCCCTTTGGGAAGGTTTAGGAGGGATGGCCTTACTGAAAGTGCACTACTAAGGACATGCTTCAAGGTTTCAAACCTCCTGCCACCACCAGGTCACTCTCTGCTTCAGCTCCTGCTCCCTGCCACCATGTCCGCTGCTTGCTACCAAATTTCCCCGTTGTGATGGACCCTTAAGATGGATTGTTACTAATGCCAGCCTGGCCTACCTTCCGAGTTCCAGGCCCATCAGAGCTACAATAGTTGAGATACTGTTCTGAAACAATTTTTTGATTTTGGTTTTGGTTCTGGGGTTTTTTGTTGTTGTTGTTGTTTTGTTTTTTTGTTTTTGTTTTTGTCTAAATAGATAACTCAGTGGTTAAGAACACTGGCTGCTCTTCCAGAGGTCCTGAGTTCAATTCCCAACAACTACATGGTGGCTCACAGCCATCTATAGTGGGTTCTGATGCCTTCTTCTGGCATAAGGTCATATGCGCAAATAGAACACTTATATACATAAAATAAATAAATCTGCAAAATTATAAAAATAAAATTTTAAAACTGCAAACAGTCCAGGGCTGTGGCTCAAGCCCCGGTCTATGAATCACGTCTTTCCCATGACACTGAAGGACGTGTCCGGCAGGGCTGGCGCCGCCGCTCTGAGAAGGGCCTGACGCCAGCTCCTTGCGCTGGTGTCCCAGATCTCACATGGCTTCTTTGCCTGACCTTAGCTGATAGGATATCCCTGATTCCATAAGAAAATCATTTGTGACTCACAAAATAGCCTGATAAAGCTTCTGCTACTTACAGACAAAAGTCCCTCAGGCAGGGGGTTGTGGTGGTGCACACCTTTAATCCCAGCGCTCAGGAGGCTGAGGCAGGTGGACCTGACTTTGAGGCCAGTCTGGTCTATAGAGCGAGTTCCAAGACAGCCAGGGCTACACAGAGAAATTCTGTCTTGAAAAACTGAAAGAAAGAAGGGGAGGGGAGAGGAGAGGAGGGAGAAAGTAGCCCTCAAAAGCAGTGGGTGCCTTCCCCTGAGTGCTGGACTTCCAGTTTGCACCTCACTTCAGACTACCTACTGTGTGAGTCAACAGTGAGGCCAGTACAGCCTTAAGTTGTCACAAGTTGCTCCTAACCCAGTGGGGAAGATGGCATGGAAATCATGGGCTTACAAGGCAGAGGAAAACAAGTACAGAACGCTGGGTTGGGCCAAACCACAGAGAGCGAAATGAGGACATGACCGCTCCAAGTCATAGTTGGAGGTTTTCTTTGTGGATGTGAGAGAGGGCAGAGCCAGAGGGATCCAGAAGTGTCCAGAGCAGGAAGAGAAAATCGTATTTATACAACCCATAGGCAATGAGATTGGGAAGAGTCAGGGGAGAGAGGAAGGGAAAGAGAGACAGGAGAGAGAGGAGAAGCTGACCAACAGAGCATATGGTCAAAATGGGAGGGGTTATTTAAGAATGAGGAGCTGGGGGAAGAGAAGCAAAGTCCAGGGACTGGAGAAGTTCAGGGTAGGGGGCGGATGTGAAGATCTGAGAAGAGCCCCCTGTACTTTCTGAGTGAGCCTGGGGACCAGCATCCGCCCCTGTACTGTCTGAGTGAGCCTGGGGACCAGCATCCACCCCTGTACTCTCTGAGTGAGCCTGGGGACCAGCATCCGCCCCTGTACTCACTGAGTGAGCCTGGGGACCAGCATCCGCCCCTGTACTCTCTGAGTGAGCCTGGGGACCAGCATCCGCCCCTGTACTCACTGAGTGAGCCTGGGGACCAGCATCCGCCCCTGTACTCTCTGAGTGAGCCTGGGGACCAGCATCCGCCCCTGTACTCTCTGAGTGAGACTGGGGACCAGCATCCGCCCCTGTACTCTCTGAGTGAGCCTGGGGACCAGCATCTGCTCCTGTACTCACTGAGTGAGCCTGGGGACCAGCATCTGCCCCTGTACTCACTGAGTGAGCCTGGGGACCAGCATCCGCCCCTGTACTCTCTGAGTGAGCATCCGCTCCTGTACTCACTGAGTGAGCCTGGGGACCAGCATCCGCTCCTGTACTCTCTGAGTGAGCCTGCAGACCAGCATCTGCCCCTGTACTCACTGAGTGAGCCTGGGGACCAGCATCCGCCCCTGTACTCACTGAGTGAGCATCCGCTCCTGTACTCACTGAGTGAGCCTGCAGACCAGCATCTGCCCCTGTACTCACTGAGTGAGCATCCGCTCCTGTACTCTCTGAGTGAGCCTGGGGACCAGCATCCGCCCCTGTACTCTCTGAGTGAGCCTGGGGACCAGCATCCGCCCCTGTACTCTCTGAGTGAGCCTGGGGACCAGCATCCGCCCCTGTACTCACTGAGTGAGCCTGGGGACCAGCATCCGCTCCTGTACTCTCTGAGTGAGCCTGGGGACCAGCATCCGCCCCTGTACTCTCTGAGTGAGCCTGGGGACCAGCATCCGCCCCTGTACTCACTGAGTGAGCCTGGGGACCAGCATCCGCCCCTGTACTCACTGAGTGAGCCTGCAGACCAGCATCTGCCCCTGTACTCACTGAGTGAGCATCCGCCCCTGTACTCACTGAGTGAGCCTGGGGACCAGCATCCGCTCCTGTACTCACTGAGTGAGCATCCGCCCCTGTACTCACTGAGTGAGCCTGGGGACCAGCATCCGCCCCTGTACTCACTGAGTGAGCCTGGGGACCAGCATCTGCTCCTGTACTCACTGAGTGAGCCTGGGGGCCAGCATCCGCCCCTGTACTCACTGAGTGAGCATCCGCTCCTGTACTCTCTGAGTGAGCCTGGGGACCAGCATCTGCCCCTGTACTCACTGAGTGAGCATCCGCCCCTGTACTCACTGAGTGAGCATCCGCTCCTGTACTCACTGAGTGAGCCTGCAGACCAGCATCTGCCCCTGTACTCTCTGAGCGAGCCTGGGGACCAGCATCTGCTCCTGTACTCACTGAGTGAGCCTGGGGACCAGCATCCGTTATGGTATGGCTAACAGGTGCCACAGTCAGTCTTTTGTTCTGGGTTTCTTTAGGAGCTGGCACATAGCAATTGGTCATCTAGAAGATGGCAGCTGTGAGGGAACGAGGAGGCTGCTTGGGCAGATACAGAAGGTCAATGCCAGCAGGCATGGGTCTGAGGGTAAACTAACCACAGTGCTCCAGAGAGGCCTCCATGCCCCTGAGGGTAAACCAGCCACAGGAACCCCGAGAGGCCTCCATGCCCACAGTGCTCCCCTTGTCCCTCCCCCCCTACTGCCTGACCAGCTACATCTTGAAAAATAGTTATCTATATGTAAGTGCCTGAGTGTGTGTGTGTGCATCACATACGTGCAAGAGACAGAAGTCAGGAGAGGGTGTCAGGTCCCCTGAACTGGAGGTACAGATGGTTGCGAGCCACCTGTGGGTGCTGGGAAGCAATACTAGTTCCTTTGCATGGGTAGCAAACGCTCTAAGCCACTGAACCATCTATTCAGCCCCAGCCTCACCTGTTGACAAGCAAATCCAAATATTTCTGGATTATCTTCCTATGTATTACGGTGGCTTTCCAATTGCTGGACCGTAGGCCTTTGACTGCAAGTACTTCTTCAGGGAAATTTGCTGACAGCTTTGAACCTTTTTTACCATGGACTTGGAATTTAGTCTTTTCATCACCTGGAAGGACAAAAATAAGTATCACATTGATGCCGACCTAAAAGACCCTTCTCCAGAAAGCCCTTGCTGGCACTGCTCCTTCCTTTGTGAAACTTGCCACAAGGCTCTCCAAGAAAGGCTGCCATCCCCAACATCACAGGCCACCATCCCTGCTCTGCCACCTTCTTACCAGGTACCCTTTTAAGTCATTTAGCCTCTCTCTAGAGAGAATATTAACAGTAAGCCCTTCCAAAGCTTGGGTACACCAAGTCGTTCAGACCAAGGACAAGATAGTGCCTTGCTTCCTTGTCACTACTTTATAAAAAAGAAGAAAAGAAAAAGAAAGACGGTACCTGGCAAACATGGCAGGGATCAATAGATGTAAACTAGTCCTATTGAGATTCTGATTAGGCAAGGGAAAAAATAAGTAGGAAATAAAAAGCGAGCAGTTTAGTTCCTGGTGTCCACATGAGTGGTACAGGGTAGAGTGAGGCAGCCTTGGGAAGCTGCCCATCTGCAGGACTCCAGCCGCCCAGTGTAGGAAAGTTGATTCTGCTGCTGCTGAAGGTCTGGGGGCACAGAGGGGAACACAGGAATACCTTCCTCTTAGACCTCCCAATACAAACCTGCAGAGGAGGGACAGCTCCTGCTGCCCGGTGAGGGTCCCAGCTGGATTTCCAAAGGGAAATACATTTGAAATTGAAAAAAAACATAACAAGAAACTGCTTAGAATCAACCCATGGGGCACTAATGTCTCAGGGCCTGTTCATTTCTCAAGCATTGTAAGTTTGATATGTACTTTGCTAGAAAAAAGAAAAAAGAAAAATGAGATGGGTGGTGGTGACACATGCCTTTAATCCCAGCACTCGGGAGGCAGAGGCAGGAGGATCTCTGTGAGTTCGAGGCCAGCCTGGTCTACAAAGCGAGTTCTGGGACAGCCTCCAAAGCAATACAGAGAAACTGTCTTGAAAAATAAAACCAAAAACAAAAGTCCTTAGAGCAGTGGTTCTCAACCTTCCTAATGCCTCAGCCCTTTCCTACATTTCCTCATGTTGTGGTGACCCCCAACCACAAAACTACTTTCTTTGCTACTCATAAGTGTATTTTTTTAGTTACAAATCATAACGTAATATCTGATATGCAGGATATCTGACATGCAGCCCCTGTGAAAGGGCCCTTATAACCCACCATGGGTTGAGAACTGACGCCTTAGAAATTTCAGCTTACCAACTCCTGTTTCAGCCCATGCCCACAAAAGATCCATGTCCAGCAGCAGAGCTTCTGGAGGGAGATCTGTGTGCACCTCCTGTGCCTGGCACTGCCATTTACTCTTAGTCCTCTAGAGGTGACAGGTAAAGACACTGAAACTTACACAGACAAAAAGTGTCGTGTCTGGAGATGGCCCGCTGTTCAGTAGCAGTGTGGGCTGTAGGCAACCTTAGCTGTGAAGTCTGCATTCTTCCTTAACAATCTACACCATCTCCCTCCACTTACCCATCAGCTTAATGACGAAAATAGAAACACACAGAGCTCCATAATTGGAATTGTAGAGAGACACAGGAAAGGAATGAATGACTTCCAATATAAAGAAATCTCACCAGGTTGGTGGTGCATGCCCTTAATCCCAGCACTCAGGAGGCAGAAGCAGGTGGATCTCTACATTCAAGGCCAGTTTGCTCTGCAGAGTGAGTTCTAGGACAGACAGAGTTACACAGAGAAACCCTGTCTTGAAAACCCAAACAAAACAGAAATCTCTACTTTCCTCTTCTTGCTCACCAACCCCTCAGTGTGTTTCTTAATGGAGGTGTGCCAGTCAAATGTACAAACCACGCAGCTGAGAGCAACAAGGAGCTGAGCATGAGAAGCAGACAAGGCCTCAGGCTGGCCATTTCTTACCCGCCACATACTGACCTATGAAACTCGTAAGCAGCCTAACCAACAGTCCTTTGTCTTGCTCTTTGTCCAGTATGTCCTCCAGGGTGAGGTCTGTCTTGTGGTAGCACCATCCCCAGAACCTCTTCCGTCCTCTTACCAAATAGCCACATTGGAATGCACCAGCATCAACCATACTTTTGACAGGAATCATATCCCCTCCGGGATCCAACTCCTGGACCAGAGATCTCGTGACTCTTTCGAATACAGACATTAAGCCTAAAATAGCTGTGAGAGATGTATTGGTTCAGAAGGGGGTTTTGTTGTTTTGCTTTAAGACGTCCTGTCTAGGTTAGGCTAACCTCAAACCTGCTGGAACTCGGAATTCCTGCTTCCACCTCCTGAGCGCTGGGATTATAGGTGGGGTCACCACACCTGACTTAAGACTTGTTTTCTTTTTTAGATTGATTATTTGATGTGTATGAGTGTTTTGCCTGCATGGACATGTGTGTACATGTATGCCTGGCATCCATGGAAGTCAGAAGGTGTCTGATCTCCTGGAACTGGAGTTACAGATGGTTGTGCGCCACCATGTGGATGTTGGGAACTGAACCCAGATCTTTTGGGAGGTAGTCAGTGAGCCATCTCTCCAGTCCCTGACTAAGTCCCCGCTGGGAACTGGGATAGCTAATCGTCCCTGTATTGAAAGTGAGGCAATTGTGATACAGTGTGACCACCACAGATTCCTAAATCTCCCTCAGCCCTTCATAGAACCCACTGAGGCAAATGGGGTGAGGGATTGCCTGACACAGGGAAAGTGAAACCCAGGTTCTGCATTTCTCAGAGCAAAGTTGCCGAGGATTCCCAATGGAACACCAGTCCTAATGGCTATTACTTCCCTTGGCTCTGGCTGGGATCCCTGGGTCTCCTACCAATCCTTTCTCAGGTTTCACCACCACCAGCACCCACTGTATCCTACCTCCTGTGACCTCCTAAGTCCCTAATGCCTGGCCTGGGCACCTAACCCCCCACGGCCCGGTTTCTCTTTCCCCAGTCTTGTCAGAGTAGTCTGCTCTCAGCTCGCTTCTGTCCTGGGGATTCTAGGTGTGCAGGTCATGCCCAGGACCACAGCCCATCTCCAATGCACCACCTTCAGCTTCTTTCCTCAAACAGAGTCTGGATAGTGTCAGATCTCTGCACAGCTCCCGGCTGGAAGCATGCTGAGAGGCACCTGAAAGCCCCAACAGGAGTACTTCCCGGAAAGCTGGCTAAGGCTAGGTACGCCACCTCTCCGGCCGTCACATAAGGCAAATTATGGCCCACGTGGAACGGCAGGGTCAGGAGAGATCATGCCCTTTATACTCAAGTGAGTGAGAAATTCTGATACATAAGCTAGGTGAGCTTGCGCCAGAGAAAGGTGCAATGGATTGCACAATCCAGTGAGCTGAATGGAATGAGTGGGTTCTAACTAAGAGAGGTAATAGCCATGGCTTTACCAGGGAAACAAAAATGAGCTCAGGGCCAGCTAGCAAATACCTGGTATGGCAGGCAGGCCGCAATGAAGACCCAAAAATAACTGCAGTAAACAGCTACAGGACCAGGCTGGTCCAGTACATACTCAGCTGAAGGCAGAGTAGTAATGAGTTCACCAGACCCAAGATAAATGATAAATGGGTGACTTATTGGGGAACAACTTACATAGCAAAGAACCACCGCGGTGTTCCTGCTCCAGAAGACTGTCTCTGCCCTTCCAAAGCTCTCTGTGACCCAAGAGGAAGTGCCAGTCCCCTGCTTCTCCACCTTCCGGGCCACGTCCACACATGAAGCCACACCCAAAGGGGTGTGGCCACTAACACGAATTGACTGGCAAGACGAGATGCTACTACACTCAGCCTCCCCCATTATGACACATTTCCATGTGCCCCCTCCTTAGACCCTCCTTATCTGGATACCATCCATCTTCTTCACCCACATTCTCCTCCTAGGAGCCTGCTGGTCTCACCACCATCCTCCCTCAGGGGTAACTGCTAGAGTGAACCCAGCCTGTCTTCTGACGGAAGTGCAATGGTAATGACTGTAATACAGCTATTCAACTGCTGGCTATACCCCAGGAACCATGCCCGTGCCACAACAGTCCAGAGAGGCACTCGCCTCATCAACAGAAGACTGAACTCAGAATCAACTAGGTAAGACCACACAGCTCTAGCAAGACGGTGGTGGCGCATGCCTTTAATCCATGCACTTGGGAGGCAGAGGCAGGCAGATCTCTTTGAGTTCGAGATCAGCCTAGTCTACAAGAGCTAGTTCCAGAACAGCCTCCAAAGCCACAGAGAAACCCTGTCACACAGCTCTAAGTAGCAGAGCTGGCATCTGAACAAAGGTCATTGTTCAGGTACCTGGCACATCCCCGACTGGCTTAAGGGCCGAGGAAGCAAGTGGCTGGGCCCCACTCCCAGGACTGAGCCCAGTGCAGCACTGTTCCCAACATCGCAGCCCCTATCTGAAGAGGGGACAGTACAGCTAGACAGCACATAAAGATCATACTTTCCCTCACTCCAAGAACGCCATGATGCTGGGCCAGGGCCAGAGCCAGGCTGCTGGGAAGGGAGCTCCTTCCTCTGCCTGCCTGAACTTTGTACCTGGCCAGGGAGCAGCAGATAATACTACACAGAACAGCCTGAGAGGCCAGTGTCCTCAGGAGATAAGGGTTCCTCCCTCTCCTGGCTGTGCTGGCAAGAAGCCCTGGGACCCCTCCCCTCCTGCTCAACATAGCAGTGGCCAGGACGAAAGGCAGCCCCTCCCTAACAGAACTGACTAGGAATGACTGAGGTGAGAAGCCAGAATGGGCAATGCCAGAGCACCAGTAATAACCCCACCCCCATTTATAAGCCATGTCTGGACTGACCTTCCTGGCCACCAAACCCCACTCCCACTTCCCCCAGCCAGGCCTATGAAGTCAGGGGCTCAGAGCCCAGCAGAGGGACAGCAGGGCAAGGCAGAGAGTGGGACTCTGCTCCACCTACCAGGGCCTTCACAGCTCCCCACATCCACTTTGGCTTTTCTCCTGGGCCTCCCCAGAGTCCCCACCACTGCCTAGGCAGGAGCCCTGCCCACACCTTCCCCAGGACTGACAAGGAAGCAGATCCAGACATGTGGTTAACAGACCATGTTGCATTTTATTTGCATTTTTCAGAATACTGTACAAAGGGAGTAAAAATCCTATTCACACTTTGCTTAGAAAGACCAGAAGGTGAAAGCCCCCTATGATACATGGGGAGGGAAACAGGGTGAGTTCCCTCCATCCCCTGGAGAGGGTTCAGGCACCCACACCTTTCCAAAGGAACATGCCCCAGTCGAACCAGCGAGGGGAGAAGACAGCCCCTCTTCAGCTTAGTCTCAGGCTCTGTGAGCCCCCTCTCTGAGGAGACAGTGCCTGCAGCTGTCCCTACTAGTGCCCTGTTTGGGCAGGGATCCTACAGCACTGTGGAGCCCCCACCTCATGTGGAGGTGGCCTCTTGGCCCCTCACACACATGCCACATGAGAGGCACTGCCCCGGCACAAGCTACATGAGAATTGAGTTGAAGGGCTGAGGAAGAGTTACCCATGGAAGCTTCCTCATACACAGCTAAGGAAGTGTCCGGCTGGGCCTGTGCTTCTGAGGGCTCACCGGTCTATTCCAGCCTGTGCACGCCCTCACACCAAGCCAGGACTTCAAACCCACAGAGGCCGCCCTTCCCCACCACCATCATTCTGCGGGTAAATTAGCCCTCCAGACCAGCTCTCCTTCCAGCCCACATCCCAAAGGAGGCTGGGTCTGGCTTCTCCTCCCTAGATCCTCTTTTTTACACTGATTCACATCAGCTGCTGCTATCCTGACCATCCTAAGACCCCGCCCACCCCTGCTCAGAGCTCCCCTCTCCCCAGGACCAGGGTGGCAGGATCCTGGCCCCACCTGTACACCAGGTGTCCCCCAACCCCATCTTCCTTTCCTAATCTTCCTCCTACCCCATAGCTCACCCAGGGTGGGTTGCAAGGAAGTCAACAAAGCCTGACTGCTCTATCTAGAGGGTGGAGACAGTGCAGCACGCGTGTTTCCAATACATATAAAAGTGAGTCTCACCCCACACACTCGAAGACTGAGGGGGAAACAATGCAGAAGCCGTACCGTCCCTCTGCCCCTTCTCGGGGGCTAAAGTGCTATGGCTGCCTGAGGGTAAACAAGCCAACAGGGGTTTTCCTGGCTTCCTGTCCCCACTTCTGAGGTCCATAGTCAGCCGGAAAGCCCAGCCCCTTTCATGACCACCCCCATGGCATCTCTATTCAAAAGGCAAAAGGAAAAGATCAAAAACTTCAGAATGGGTTAGAGCCCAAGAGCCCTACCCTAACCCCACTACAAGCTACTCCAAGTCGGCTACTGGGGAAGCGAGGGGGAAGCCAGGCCCAGGGCACACCCCCATCTCTGGCAGTGAGTGTCCAAAGGCTCCTGTCTTCAGCATCACAGCAAAGGCCTTCTACCCTTCCCCTGCCAACCTGGCTGAGGAAGGGGCTACAACCTCAGTACTTATTGATTCCAAAAATCCGGACTCCATGGAGCTGGGGCAGCTTGGGGATGAGCACACTCATCAAGGACACAGTGTTGAGTATGAAATGGACTTGGTCATACTTGGTGTAGAAGCTGGTGAGGAAGTACCTGGGAGGGGGGAGACAAGGAGATAGGAAAGTAAGGGTCCCAGATAAGAAGCAGAGCGACAAGTCTCCTGACCTACCCCCAGCTTACCCAAGGCCTATGCCTGTCTCATGCACAGAGAGACCCAGGATATGTCCCTTCCTTCCCTCTGCTCATCTCTACACCAAGGGTCAGGGCTAGGGGGAGTTTGAGCCCAGCTGAGCCCAATGGCTTTACCACGCCTGCTGGTGTCTCCCACAGCCAAAGCACTTACAGCACAATAGGGGTGATGGTCAAGAACTTCCTAGAGGCTGTGAACTGGACTCCATAGTCCATCTGCTCCCAGTGGGTCAGCAACCTCGCTTTACCCTGGTCTGGAGTCTCGAAGGGTGTCCCTTTCACCGTGTGCAGGAAGATGTACATGCCCTGAAAGGAGGGACCGTCATCAGAAAACACAAAAGGCAAGTCGGCTCCCAGCCTGGCTTCCCCTCCTGTCCCACACAGAAGCAGCTCCAGGTGACTGCCACCTTCCTCCGCTGTAGCCGCTCAGGCAGGCAGTCCCAATAGACAAAAGAACACCCAGGAGCCCACGTGGTGGGAGGATGTGGGGACCGCATAAGGGGAGGAGTTAACTACACAATGGGCATACACAGTAGCCCAACTGGGGTCTCTGTGTCAGCTAAGAGGAGCAAGCCAAAGGACTACCCTGTCTGCTCAAAAGCAGGGTGTAAGGAAGCAGGTTTTAGGGAGCACAGAGGGTCAGGAGAACATGGTTTGAGATCCTAACTTGGGAAAGGAACATTTCTACACTAGATTCCTGGGAGCTGGGGGCAACCTCAGCAAGGCCTCAGCTCTCAGCTCTCAGGTAGGGTGCTCCAAACGTAACCAGCAGCCAGCCCATCCAGGAGGCATGGGCAATGTGCAAATTTGATTCCTGTAGGTATGCTACAGCCCACAAGGGGGAGCAGGGCCGAGAGATCAGAGCTGGGCCTGGGCTCAGGAGGCAGATGTTGTCAGAACCTGCTGTCTGTCCCAGGACAAGCTCCTCCCATGGCTCTGGAACACAGCAGCCCATCTGGTCAGAGACGGGCAGTAAGCAGGCTCTCACCAAGTTGTGGATAAGGTTGGTGAGGGTCCAGACGACAGGGACGCTCACAAAGGGGATGCTGAGCAGTACGACGTGCAGGAGCCCGATGGCCAGCACGTACGAGAGCCAGATGCCGCGGCTGTTCATCACCCGCGTGTTGGGGTTCACCTCACTGTGTGCCGTGCCCACATTCATCCTGCCACCCCTCTTGGCTGCTGCTCTGCAAACAAGCAACACAGGTGAGACAGGTCACACCACTTTCCCTGCCCCCTCACACCCTGAGCCCCACAGAGGAGGCTTTTCCTTCCCTGAGAGCTCCACACCACAGTCCCACGCCACGTTCTCAAGCCCACATGAACAGAAGGCTGGCCGTTTCCTGTTGCTGGGCTGGGATTAACGCCAGGCGGTCATACATATCATCCACTGGGACTACCTGCTGACAAAGTCTAGGAGGACAAGTCACCAAGAGGTGTCGAGTCCAGACGATAGCAATCAATGTCCAGTCCCCAAACTCACCCCTCATGGTACCCTGAGGCCCTCTTCCTCCTGGGGTGAGGAGAGAGGCCTGCTCTCTCAGAACTCTCACCCAGAATAACCTCTGCTGGCTCTCACTGGAGAGCTGACAGGAGACATCCCCTACTCTAAGCCCCTCCCAAAGGAGCAAAAGCAGGGAGGGGCTGTGGGCACAGACAACAGAGGATGAGGTACTTTGGGGCTACTGTTCCTACTTCTCTAACCCTGGATTTCCTCAAGCCCAGGCCCAGGAGGACTGACAGGGCAGGGAGAAGACGGAAGGGAAAGAAAACAGCAGGCCAGGGACGGCCTTTGCTCAGACCCACAAACATTTCGACACAAAATGGGGCATTTTAGCCATCTGGCATCTGCTCAGGCTAAAACTCTTGGGGGTGTCACCATTAGGTCGCCAAACCAGCAGAGCCCTTAACCCCACCAGAGAGAGAAGAGAACAGAACAGAGCACACAGCCAATATCTATAGTTCCCACAGGTGGGATGTGGTACCCATATCAGCCTACTCCTCCCAAGGATACAAAACTACCTGTGGCCTCCCGC